TTTTGCTACTTATCAAACTCATGTTTTTGTCAAAGAGCTTTTAACATAGCTACTTTGGTTACGTTGGATTTGTTTTGAACTTGATGGTTCTTTAACTTTTGAATGCTTTTGTACAACTTAAGTTGCTTGGTTTAATGTAATGAATTTGATGTTGGGTCAACATTTGTTTCACTTTTGTGTATAATTATAATTAAATTGGCAATAGGTGTACGTGTAAATATACATCCGGGTTGCAGGTGTGCAAATAAATAAACCGTTACATTACATAATTAACCAGGGTCATTGTATTTTAAAAACCATTACATTACATATTTAGCTAGGGTCATCGTATTTTAAAAACGGTTACCCTTGTGCATGTTACAAACCGTTACATATGTACACAATCTGTTGTAACGTTTATGGCATTGTTGTGAGGACCGTTACAGTTGCTCATAAACTTCGTTACGAGCCATTACATTAGAGCAAATGCAACGCGAGCGAATGTGACGACCAAAAACTATTACAATAAGTCGTTTGTAACAGTTTTTTGGACCAAAGGTTACGAAATCTGCCGTTACAAAAGACCCGAAAATGTAGTAGTGGGAGAGGCTTATGAGCGGAAACGGTGGACCGTATCTACTAGATGTCTAATCAGTTTGATCCAACATTAAAAAAAATCAGTAGGAATTGAACATGGGGGGGGGGTCTAATTCACATTTACTTTTTATCTTTTTATTCTTTTTAATTTACCATCGTTGTTTCTTGAAAATATCACATTAAAAACTTTGAGAGGCTTTTAATTTTGGAATTTAAAATTCTCAGTTTTTAAAAAACGAAACTAAAATCCTTGAATGGTGATGCTGAATCCGATAAATTTTAAGATTTTTAACCTTCGTGTGATTATTAGGTCAACCTCCATATTTTAGTACATCAAATTTATAGTTGGATTTTAGGACATTTCAAAATAATATACACTACATTAGCGACACGTTTTGAGATATGGAGATATTTTTCTTCATTTGTACGTATTTGATAGAGTTTGCTACCCATCTATATATTATTTCAGAGAGATGCAGGAGCTAGAGAGAGAATTGATAAGTTTGTATTATGAATGATTAAAAATGATTCTCAAGAGTAGTATTTTAGGGTAAAGTGAATCTGACGTACCGCTAATATGGACATGATAGATCCAAACACAAAAAGGCTATATTGGTGATTTATTTGATATACTTGTGATAAAGATTGCATTTACATTCATCTCTTCTTTTTATCTTTTAAACTTGCTCGATAATTATTTTTTTTCATCATATTCATGGGATATATTTGAAAATTTTATAACCTCGACCGGTACATGTTTAATACAATTGTAATGAATGGTGTTGTCATTCATTTTTTTTTATTTGGACGGAGGGAGTTGGCCATGCATTTCCAAATCTAATTTTGTCCCCGTGATTGGTTATGTTAGAGTTTTTGTTTGGAACTTTTTTTTACATATATAACAAATCTCTTAAGAAAAGAATATATTAAAAATCATTAAATGACATTGATAATCATCAGATTTAACGAAACAACTCAATCTAAGATTTATCTTATCAAATAGTTACATTATAACTAGATATAGTTAACATTAACAATGATAATTTACAGTCTTTCATGTTATATCATATATTTATGTGTTTATGTATGTAAATAATTTTACACAATTTTAGTCAACAATCGTTAATGTCCACCCAAGAGCGCTTCATCTTATTCATGATTCATATTTGGGAGTTTAGAACCTCGATGAGTACTTACTTAAGCCGGCCACTTATATTGTAATACACCTGATTTTTAACATCATTAAATGGTTTTAGAGTTTATTCAACTTACTGAATTGAAGATAATAAATTAATTATTATGGGAGTTAATTCCGTTATATCCTATATAGTTCCATTTCTTAAAATATTATGGGAGTTAACCTCTATTGGAGTAATTTCCTATTATGGTCAACTATGGTGAGTAGCACCGATGTACAAATTGACCTACAATTTAAATTTATAAGCATTATTTCTTTTCTTTTTTAGTTTATTGAATGGTTTTTAAAATTAAAGTACGTAGATTCTTCAAATTCGGAATCTTTATTTGTTATCATTTGAAAAGGTTTACATTACATGTAATTTCTTTATTTGTAATTGATGGTTTAGTTCTTATCGGATCTTCACATTTATATAGTAATGTTTAATTTGATAATCACATTTTTTATTTTAAACATTTCAAAACTCAATTTTATATACGCAAAGAAATTAATTTACAACACATTACTCATAAAACAACTACAACATGTGCAGATGCACGGGTACCATACTAGTTATGCAAAAAAAACGTTTTAATCTATTCTACACGTGTTTTTTCTAACATTATCTAGAGATGTTGTTGATGAGTTAAGAAACCCGGGTTGAGAAAAGTGAGAGTAGCAAGCTATAGAGAAAGAAAAAGTATACACTATAAATGGTAGGGGTAACAACACAAAAAAGTTTAAATTTGGGAACTCATTTTCACAAGTTCAAAGGTTATCTTTAAAACATAAATAATAAAAACTAATTATAAGCACCAATTGAAAGTAAGATTATTTTAGATACAAAAAATGTGTTGGTGTAATATCTCAGTTTTGTTGGTATGCACCCAAAGTCGGTGTACTTTCTCTCCTTTTCTCCCTTGGCAAACGGCTGTGTCACTGAAAATATTCTCCTCATCTTCTCTCAACCATCTCAAATATTAGTTTCACTTTCCTTCATCTTCTCCCCATCCTTCAAGATATATTAATTTCGTGCTTTATGATGATTGCATTTAAACATTCATTGAATATTCAATTCCAGCTTGGTTGTAACCATTAGTTTAGTTGTTTCCATCTCCCATGCAATGCAGGTTATATCAACTCAAGAACCTTCCACAATTTTATGTCCCCCTATAATCTTATGTTACTCAACACTATACTCCAGGTAAGCATCCTTGGCATTTTTCAACTTCCTAATTTTCTTCAACTGATTTTATTGCATGTCTAAATATTAGTCTCAATAACCTTTCATTGAGCACAATTCCATTTGAATTGAATATCCCTATAAAGTACTCGTATTTATGGAAAATTCTCCTCAGAATCTTCATATCAAGCTATAAGAGCTTTTGGGCACTCATATAGTCATATTATATGTATGTATCATACTTTCATATATTTATGTGCTTAATATGGATCTCGAATTAGTTTAGTTCCGGTTTAAACTATAATCCAAATAACATGTACATTTAGGCTATAAGGTCCTTTGATGGTTGGCATGCCTTGGGTCAATTTCCCCCTTATGTATATAGTAAGGTAGTGAACCTTTAGCTAACTAGACTTCAATACCATGTAATGTTGATGTGAAAAAAAGAAAATAAATCAAATCAATTGTTGTCAGCTTTCACCACATATTTAGTCTCGATAAATGGCATTTAGCTATGAGTGTATATGTAGAGTTGCTAGCCATTTGAAATGCAAAACTTTGTGTTGTTAAACTTCTAAATGTAAAAATAATAGATACAAATATACAATTATGGAAAATTTGTCATGTGTCTGAACAATCTAAGCAATCCCTTCATAATATTCTAAATTCCCTTTCTAATTTAAAATTATGTTCTAAGCTAATTAAATTTCGAAGTAATTAAAGCCCCTAAAATCTAGATTACTCCTTATATTATTACTCCAAAAGCTCTTTCGTCGATGGGTGTTAGAACTCCTAAAATCCTGAACTACACTATAGAAACTCTTCCATGGATTAGAATTATAATTGATTGATACAAATTAGAACTCCAACTAAAATTCAACAAAATTCCTTAAAACTCACAAATTAGAACTCCAACTACACTTTGATTTGATTTGTGAATGTCAAAAAACTTAAAGTGATCCTAGAATTACAAATACAAATACAATTTTAAATTGTATTTAAAATATATTACATTAATATAATAAAAAAAATCGAAAAAATAGCTAAAATGACTCTTTACAGTAACTTCAGCAAATTCGGTCAGAAGAGTTACTACAATCTTACTTATTTTTATTATCATGCTATTACAAAATTGTATTTAAAATATATTATATTAATGGAATAAAGAAGAATTATACATTGTATGAAACTAACTAAAATGATCCTCTATAGTAACTTCAACCAATTCGACCGGAAGAGTTACTCCAATCTTACGTATTTATAGATTAAGCACAAGAAATAAAATGTTACGTATTTAATAATAAAATTGACTCATGTCCCCAAATTGGACCTCCTTTTCGGTGACTAGTCAAACTAATGATCCACTTCTCAATTGATTTTACTTTATTGGTTGTTGGTCAAATCAATTCTCCCTTTTTCGATGATTGGTGAAGTCAGATCTTTTAGTTATGATTTTTTATTTTCTATTTAGAGTAGCAAGAGCAACAACACTATTAGATCAAACTACATTATTACAAGATTAGTTATATGGAAGGATTTGGATCTTTTCCGCTCTATATATCATCCCATTGTAGCCTCAAGCTATTCATTCATTCTGTTATATCTTTGTTATCATTTAATAATAAATTAATTATTTAATTTAAAAAAAATACTCCATAATTTTTAAAATTATTACTTGATTAAAAGATGTTTTTCCGCAATAAACATTATGAAGTCAACTTTATGCATAGGAATTGGTAACCACATTTTGAATGATTGTCTCATTTATAAAAGTAATAAAACATGTGCTTGATATGGTTACAAGCAATGCAGTATCTTCAAAAATGAAAATCCATAGAGCAAGTGTAATAAAATAAACTTTGTAACATTTCATATTCCGTTAATATTGGATTGTTTTGTCTTTTGAAGCTAATTTATATTCAATTGTTCAAATTATTTCACATTCGCTTCACTAGTGCCCCAATAGTTGAAATTTCTAGATCCACCCTTGAATTTATCACCAATTCTTCAATTCAATTTATAAGAGATGAATAAACAAGTTTTCAAAAAAAAAAGAAAAAAAAAAGAGATGAATAAACAATTTATAAGAGATGAATAAATGTTATGCCAATAATTTCATTTAGATAACAAAATACTTAATGAAACCGGGACCGGGACCTAAAGGTAAAACTCACCGATCTTACTATTACTTAGTACAAGGATTTCCATATTTTAGTTTTTTATCAAATGTTGTCTATCAAACCCTGATCATCAAAATACTACGTTTTATATCACATTTAAATATAAGAACATGAAAGATGGATCAACTGATTAAGCAGTAATCCAGACTTCTTGAAACGAAATAAGAGTTACATAGCACTTGCCATAAGCCACTAGAGGTGCACACAACAAAAGATGAATGGTTAACATAGCTTCATAGGCTCCTAGCTGCTTATGAATATCTTCCATCCAATGTTGGTTTAAAAAACGCCGGCTCAGCCCTCTTTAGATCTAGGCTACCACAAAATCTATTTCTGCATTAAAGAATTACAGCTGATCAATAGATTCACCCAAAAGTGGCTATGAGGTTTGCAAAATCCGAAAGTATACGACTTTCATGGAAAGAGTGGGTTTCTAACATTTAACTGCTATTGTTTGAAGTGCTAGCTGCATATTCATTGTAAAAGTTAAAATTCTAGTTTTTAAGCATTCAGTTAGTGTTAGAAATTTCAATGTGTATTTTCTGTAACATGAGGAATGATTTTATGTTGACAGACGCTTCTGTGCTATCTCAATTTTTCCCCTTGTCTTTACAATTAGTACCAAAATAAATTGGGAGTTCGCTACAAATGGCATAATAGTTTTGTTGTTTGATTGAAGATCATCTGAATGATCAGTCTGTTAGAGCTATTTTTGTGGAAAAGGATGGCAAAGCGCATCATGATTTATCAAAACGTGGGAAGCCTACGGCTGTAACCAGGAGGATATCTTAAACTGTGTGCCAAACCTATTTGGAAGTTTAATAAGGGACGGAGGGAGTATAATTCTAATGATTTTTATCACATGCAAATGACTTTGAAAAAGAAAGTCATCACATCAGATATAAGTTAATAAGAAGAACCAATTAAGCAGAGCCTAAAGTTGTTGAAAGACGATAGGAGTAGAGCTACATAGAACTTACTATGAGCCACTAGAGGTGTATAGGAGGAAAGATGAACTGTTTGTATAGCTAGATATGAATTTCTTCCCAGTTGAAGTTGGTTGGGAAAATGCCAACTCGGCCCGCTCTAGAACTAGACCATCACAACAGCTAATCCTGCATCAAACAATAAAATTGATTAACAAAATTCACTAAAAAAAAGGAAAAGGTGTGAGAAGGGTTGAATGGTATTCAATTTTGACGGAGAGTCCATGACAGTTTTTCCATAGCATAAAAAACTTGAGTACTTGAAGCAAGAAATTACAAACAAGAAAAATAAACGGAAGCCTTCGTCATTTTTATTGGTTCAAGATATTGCACAGAAAGTTTCATCCACTAAGGGAACCAGGGCATTTTATCGTGATTGATTGCAAACAGTTGGTAAGCTCATTCATCTTTTTCAAGTGTAGAAGCTATATAAAGATCCATAATGTACAAGTTAAATAGCCCATATAATCTCATACGAGGTAAACAGCCTGGATAAAAATACATGTACTACTTGTCTACTTGACTTGTTTGCTCAATCCGCTCAAATATACCTCACACGAGTTCTTAGACATTTTCGAGGCTTTGGGGGGATCCAAATTTAGGGAATATGTACCACTTTATGAAATAAAATTTCAATTTCAATACAAAAACCAAAGCTGATGAATAATACATTTGTGAATAAGATGTTACCTAGCAGCATCTAGCAAATAACTAGCAATTTGTTTTCTTCTGTTGGAAGGACTGACCCAAATGGCTCTAATGCCACATGAAGCAGGTACGGCTTCCTCCTCGCACAAGATAACCCCAAATCCTTCATCTGAACCTTCGAGTCTTTCCTTAGAGGGGTCTTTTCTTACTTTTTCCCGTTGAAAACAAACTCCCCCAAATTGCAAAACTGAAGATTTCCGACTTACTTCGGTTTTAGCCGAATTATTTGACCCGTTTCCTGATGAACTAGGCACAAATCTGTAGGCCCTGTTTATCCGTTCTACTATCACACAGCCAGCAATTCTTCCAAAGGTTATAAATAAATACACCTGTAATTAGACAGTGTATTGAAAATGCTCAGTTCAGAAAACTATGTTCAAGTGTTCAGGTCATGGAAGAACAATCACAAAACATGATGTATTTTCTGGAGTGGAATTGAGTCATTGACAAGATATGAGTACACATTACACACAATCTGAGTATTGAGAACAAAGCTTCATTCTTATACCAACAATTACTACTAAATGAGTTGTTTTTTACCTTGCACTGTTGATGGTATATCCACCCATGTCCAAGTTCTATCTCCATCATTTTAACAACTTCCAGAACCTGACAAATACGTTAAAAGTTGGAACCACTAAAGTTAATCGTTTTGCCAATAAACTACTGAAAACTAGCGTTTGTTGTGGAAACAAAGATTTACACCATAATAGGTGAAGTAAAAAACATGAAGTTCACCTTATTTCTCCATGGAGAAGGGTCGTCGTTTAACACCAAGATAATGCGTCCAGTTTCAGAAGAAGTCAGAATAATTCTTTCATTTTGCCAGCCCTGCTAAGTAAATGTTAGCAGTCAGAATAATGCGTCAATCACACATAAAAATAAATACTTTGAATATAAAAAACTATTCTGAAAACATACAACCTTTAATGGAATTCCTCGAGTGTAATTCTTGTGAATTTTCTGGTGAACCTTCTCATCAGCTTCTTCACCAGTGGCATACTCAAAGCCGCATACATTGCAAGTGTGCAACACAAAATCAGACTGACCCAATTCCAAATGAAATTGAGCATAATTTCTTTTCTTATTCAAATTTTGAGGAGGAAAAAATTTCACAGTTGAACTCCTTGATGCAATTTCGTGGGGTGGTTCACTATTTGATCCATCCCTGCTATCACCAAATATCAAATATTCATACAGCCGAACAGTCAAGAAAAGAGTAAATGATTATTATCAGCACAATTCGAGCATTATGCTTTATTAAGAAATAAGTTGTCAAGAAGACTAAACAAATAAAGAATGACATGGTACTTGAATTGAAATAAAGGTAAAAAACTGACCAAAAAACACATAAGGTTGTGACTTGTGACTATGCGAGATGTTCCCTGTTATAAGCGGACTAATGTAGTAAACTTGAAATTAAAAAGGAAATGAAGAACAAAATCTACTCACGTTAACAAACCAACAGCAAGCACAGCCCCACCATTGTTACAAACAGGAAAATAAAGGGCAAATTGAAACCACACACACACAACAAAATCTTTGAAGACTGGAAATGCTGTGATTAACAGAATGGTAGGAAAAGTCGGGGAATTCAATAGCTCATACGGGAAAAATAACAAATACAGTGAACGTACCCCGGCTTGAAACTTCTACGCTTGTAAGTATTGGTGATATCTGGGCGTTCCAATTGTGCAGCCTCACAATTGAACAAATTGCCGGAGATTGAAGAAGCGGAGACGGTCGTGGAAATGCATGGCTTGAAAAAAGCTTTTATTTTAGATTGCATTCTTCAAAACAATTCACTCCACATATTCTTTCTTTGTTGCTTCAGAGTAAGGACAAATCATCCTGCAGTTCCCTTTCTTCTGCTGCACAGGTATGAGCAAAACGTAAAAGGCCCATTCAATTGGAGGCAACATTCTGTCCCGGCACGAATAAAATCTTCCCGCCAGCTGATTTGGGGATTTTATCCAAAAATAAAGTAATAATAATTGATTGATGGGTTAGGCCACAATGGCCCAAAATGGATGGTTCGGATTGGGTTAGCTTGGGCTAACATAAAACAAATTAATTGATTATTTGGGTTTGACTGCGATTTTGTAAGAAAAATTCTTTTCAGCCCGACCTTTGTTCTTGTTGGAGAAATAAGAAACGATCCTAATCTGATGAGTATTAACATACCTCTGTTATCCCAAATGACTGTCAAGTGTGGCTTCATTAAGTGCTTCCAGGCTAGATGAACGAGGGGAGAATATGCGTATGGACGAGGCAAAGGGTATAATCTTTACACAAACATAATAGGTTAACAAATAGAGCTTGATGCAAGAAAGACTCAAGCAAGTACAGAGTGGAATGACAACACGAGAAGATGGGTGAATAACTGTATAATCATACCAACAGAGGAACCACGAGGGTAATTCTGCTTCTGATTCTGTTTAAGAACACAATAAAAAACTCAGATATCAATTTTCCTGGTTGTATACTAAAAAATATACAATCAGAATCCCTTTTTGGGAGCTACAACCCAAACTTCCCCAAATTTATATCCAAATACTCAAGCAAACTGATGCAGCTTTAAATATGTTTTAAAAATCAGTTCTAAACACCCCCAATATATAAAATAAAAACAAAACTGACCTAGAAAGGAAATTGCGAACAGACAGATAGGTTATATCAAATTATCAATATTCAATAAAGGACTAGTTCCAGATGGAAAAAGGGATAAAAACTGCTGATGTGGCGGCCTTATATGATTTTTGCAGAGAACGAGTTTAGGAATCCCCAACCACCCAAGAAACCCTAACCACCTCATTACCCGTTAAAATTAATATATAATAGTTAGTTTATTCCCAGATTCAGTACTTGGTCATTGTGGTTTTCACAGTTTACCTGGAACAGTTCAATGCAAGTACTGGATCATATATAATTGTCACCCCTACTCCTGCATTATTTAAACGGCACTCTTTGAGCACATAATAAGTTGGCACACCTAATTTAGATATGGTGCATATTAGCGACATCAATAATTTGTCATGGAACTAGATATTCACCTATCCTGAGATCCATATAACCTATGTTGGGGTGGGCAATTTAGTGATGACAAAATCTTCTATGACCACAATACCACACATGTTATGGACACAACCGGCATCATTTAGGTTGTTTAAATGAATTTATTTTGTTGAACAGGGTTGGGTTTTTAGATAATCTCATAATCATTCATTTTAAACTGGGTGATAAACGTTGTGTTTAAACTCAAACTTGAAATATTAAAATATTTGGAAACTTAGAAACAAAATCAGAACCACAGCACAAAATGAGTAAACCACCATAATTTAAAGTTGTGACATGATGGTCTGGGGCGGATCTAGCATTTCAACCTAGGTGGGGCCAAAATTTTCATATACATAGTAAATGATATTACGTATAATTACAATTAAAAAAAAAAGTAAAATAAAAAAATAAATGTTTCAAATGTTTTACAAGGATAAGAGTTTTCATCCCAGGAAAATAAAAAAACACATAAAAAGTTCATACTTGTTCTCTACAGACTTTCATAGCATGATATCACTTGATGATCACTGTCAATTTTCAAAAAGATATCTTTTTTCTCAACAGGTTTATCTAGTCTTTTTGAAGTTTCTTCAACTAGATGTACGAGAGGCCAATACCATTCTTAGTGAACCATCTTCATTAGCTCCTACTTCAATAGATTTATAATATCTCTTCAAACCTACCTCAATCAGCTTTTATTACTCTACGACAATACATAACATCCTACAATAAGTTAGAAAATAGCAAAAAGGTACTCACAGGTCACATGTGTATTAGAAGCAATAAGATTCATACTAACAAAAACTAATGGTATTAATGATAAAAATGATATTTGTCACAATTTATAATCATACTAATACTTTTGGTTTAATGCTAAACGTCTAAATAATCAGATTAATACTGACAATGATATTAATGCTAATGGTATTCAAATATTATATTAATACTAAACAATGACACTAAGATTCATACACACAAATCACTATAATATTATAAATTTACCGAAAATGTTGGAGAGTTGAAAACAACCCAGAATCAAAGTACATAAAATTACAAGTCACGCAAATTGATTTATGATAGCATACTTTCTAAGTATACACAAATTGAGCTTGTTTAACCGGAAAGAATAAATAAAAATACTATATTTCACTAATAAAAATTTCAGAAAACTACAATTTACTAATTGAACAGAAAAAATGGTCAATGAGTAATTGAGTCTGAACACATATCATAAAAATTCACTAATTTAATAAGGAAAAATTTCTATTTTGAATAAAATCTGGAATTTGATTTTTTTATTCAGGCTTACCTAGCTAAGCAGGAGCGGTAGACGGCAGGGCAGCGCGCTGTATCCGGCGCAGGGGTGCGGCGGACGCTAGTAGCTGGTGCACACTGCCTGTTGAAGAAGAATGGTCGTCGCCTCGTGACCCTCGTCGGCAGTGCTGAACTGCTGAAGAAGAAGATACAGAGTAGTGACTATGGAGTACGATTTTGCTGCTGTGAGAAAGCCTACAGGCGACGAGAAGATACGAGTCCTATTACCGGCCCAATTGTCCAAAGCCCCAAAATTTTCAAACAACGGAGGAGATCGGAGAAGAACGCAGCACGGCACAGCACCGCCCCTCAGCCTCTGCACTCCGCCACTCCCTCCTTCGGAGATTCGGCCCTTCTCAATTTTCACCTTCGGACCTTCCGTATTTCTCCATACTCCAGTCCTTTTCTATTGATTAGTAAAATTAGTTCATTAATTGATTTAATTCTTTATAAATATTTATTATAAAGAGATAATATTTTAACATAATAATAAATATTTATTTTTCAATTTTAAATATACATTTTAGGAAAAATTGATAGTAGTAATCCCAACTATTGGCGGTCCGCTTATAATAATCCCAACTATCGATTATTTCAGAATAATCCCAACTTTAGGGACCTTCCGCCAATAATGGTCTCTATAAATAAATTCTTGTAGTTTTTTAAGTGGATGAAGATAGATATAGCAAGTAATCCCTATAAATAATCTCAACTTTTAATTTTTACACTTAATTTCTATTTAAAATTCACTTCTTTAGGAGGTAATATCTGATCATGGACCATTATTGGCGGACGGTCCATATAGTTGGAATTATACAAAAATAATCAATAGTTGGGATTATTATCAGCGGACCGTCAATAGTTGGGATTATTATTTTCAATTTTTCCTGCATTTTATTTTTGGTGTTTTTTGATTTTTTTTTATCTGTTCTAACGTCAATAAGGGTAAATTTGCTTCTTTATAAGAACATGAGGGGTATTTTTACACTTTTTAAGAGTTTAGGGCATATATGCACTTCAACATATAATTGAGGGGTATATTTGATTATTTGTTCGAAAAAATAATACAGGGTATATTTGTTCTCACACCCATACACAGGGGTATATTTGTACATTTTCCCTTTAAAAATTTAATGAATTATAATTTGTATCTGTGATTCTACTTTACTTAGTTTAATGAATTATATGTAGTATATTTTTATTATTATTAAGGTCTTCGATTATTATTATTATAAATGTTACTTTAGACATAAAAGGGTTTTCCAATTCTTGTCAGGATTAAACCTATTTTTAATTACCCGCCCCTAGGCTTTCAAACATACAGGAGTACATGACCAGTTCTATTCCCAAGTTGCGGTTCTCTCTGTTCTCTTGATTTGGCTTAGGTATGGTTTGATCGACTTTCATACTTCTATGTAAGGGTAAAATTCATTTTTCTTTGTGTATATATATGCATCATGCATGTATGTCGATGATGCATGAGATGTACCTACTACATAGATCATATTATTTTTAAAATATATTTATTTCACTTTTTAGTTTCCTGAGTTGATCAGGAAGCCAAAACTCTTATTCAGTAACCTACTCGCAATTCTCTCCCCACACCGTTTCTTTCGTTTTCCTTCACACTTTCATTCTGCATCATTTTGAAATTCAGCATTGATAGGATTCTTGGGTGACCTTTGTCAAGGCTACTCAGTGAAGGAAAATCTGCTTTGGGTAAGTTTGAATCTTTTCCCCTCAATTTGTTTAAAATTTATTTGTCAAAGATGTATCCTTGAAATGGAAACTCAAACAGCATCTTTAGATTCGTGGTACAGCTCAGTTTGTGGATTACACATCAGAGATCACCACTTAGGAGATCAGTGAGAAGACGGATGTGTAAGATATGGATTTGATTTATTATCATTATCCCCCGTGTTATTACAGTAAACAAATCTAATAAACCTCCTAAAAGAGCTCTTCATATTCATGAAAGGATGGTGTATGTATTTTTGTTAATGCTTAAACAGTGTTGCTTCTGCGCCGGGAAAGGTTTTGATGACCGGAGGTTATCTAATCCTTGAGAGGCCCAATCCAGGGATTGTCCTGAGTACAAATGCTCGCTTTTATGCCATTGTGAAGCCACTTTATGAGGAGGTCAAACCCAGTAGTTGGGCATGGGTGAGTCATTACAAATGTTGAATATCCACTCAGTTGTAGTGTTATTATCAATGGAAATTACCGTATGACATGTATACATTCCACAAATAGCATCATATTTTCACCATTCTTTCTTTAGGAGTAGTATTTGTGAAAGAAAAAGGGTCAACTGGTCAAGTAGATCTTTCTACCTGGTTTGGCGATTCCACAAATAGCATCATATATTGTTCCTACCTAAGGCGAATTCTCTTTTATCAATGGTTTGGTGGCCTGATTGGTTGTCTTTCAAGATTATTTTGTCGTAAGCAATAATCGGGATCTTCAATGAACACGTTTAAGGCTTGAACCCTTTAATTGGGGTTTAGAATTGTTTAACAGTGTATATTACTATATTTTGTAACATTTGCGGCATGTGATTTGCAGGCATGGACAGATGTGAAATTAATTTCTCCTCAGATGTCAAGAGAAACTCTCTACAAACTGTCACTTAAACATTTCAAACTTTAGCCTTCATCTACACGGCAAGTTTGCTACCTGTCACTGATTCATGTCATTTGATCTCTCCCTATTTTCATTATATATTGTTTGATCCATGAATAATTAGAAATGTATTGGTATTGGTCACTTTCTGTTGATGGATGCACAACAACGATTCAAGAAATCCCTTTGGGGAAAATGCAGTGGAGTATGCCATTGCAGCAACACATGCAACCTTTGATAAATATAAAAATGATGTTTTACATAAACTACTTTTGCAAGGTAATATCTGGCGCTTTGAATATTCACTTGATTGTCTAAACAATTGTAGTATTTTCCATAAGCTTCTCATTGAAAGTGACACGATTATTTAGACAGTACTTAAATAAGGTTATTTGAGTATATTTTGAGAAGTAGTTTTGATGAGTATATAATATAATGAAGTCATTGATGATAACTATGATGTTATAGGTGTATTATTGTTAATATTTGATTATTAAGTTGACATTTAAGTGTTAATTTTTTTCTAAAATAGAAATGACAACCTTTAACTGGGATGTCTAAAAGAAGAAGTGAGAAACTTAAGGTGGGATAGAGGGACTATTCAATTGTTCAAATTATTTCACATTCGCTTCATTAGTGCCCCAATAGTTGAAATTTCTAGATCCACCCTTGAATTTATCACCAATTCTTCAATTCAATTTATAAGAGATGAATAAACAAGTTTTCAAAAAAAAGAAAAAAAAAAGAGATGAATAAACAATTTATAAGAGATGAATAAATGTTATGCCAATAATTTCATTTAGATAACAAAATACTTAATGAAACCGGGACCGGGACCTAAAGGTTAAACTCACCGATCTTACTATTACTTGGTACAAGGATTTCCATATTTTAGTTTTTAATCAAATGTTGTCTATCAAACCCTGATCATCAAAATACTACGTTTTATATCACATTTAAATATAAGAACATGAAAGATGGATCAACTGATTAAGCAGTAATCCAGACTTCTTGAAAGGAAACAAGAGTTACATAGCACTTGCCATAAGCCACTAGAGGTGCACACAACAAAAGATGAATGGTTAACATAGCTTCATAGGCTCCTAGCTGCTTATGAATATCTTCCATCCAATGTTGGTTTAAAAAACGCCAGCTCAGCCCTCTTTAGATCTAGGCCACCACAAAATCTATTTCTGCATTAAAGAATTACAGCTGATCAATAGATTCACCCAAAAGTGGCTATGAGGTTTGCAAAATCCGAAAGTATACGACTTTCATGGAAAGAGTGGGTTTCTAACATTTAACTGCGATTGTTTGAAGTGCTAACTGCATATTCATTTTAAAAGTTAAAATTCTAGTTTTTAAGCATTCAGTTAGTGTTAGAAATTTCAATGTGTATTTTCTGTAACATGAGGAATGATTTTATGTTGACAGACGCTTCTGTGCTATCTCACTTTTTCCCCTTGTCTTTACAATTAGTACCAAAATAAATTGGGAGTTCGCTACAAATGGCATAATAGTTTTGTTGTTTGATTGAAGATCATCTGAATGATCAGTCTGTTAGAGCTATTTTTGTGGAAAAGGATGGCAAAGGGCATCATGATTTATCAAAACGTGGGAAGCCTACGGCAGTAACCAGGAGGATAACGAGTCCCTAAAACACCAGCTTTTTGACATATGTGATGGTAATATCAAAAGGAAAGGAGAGATTGTGAAAGAGGAAGACAATATATTACTACCTCCGTCCCTAAATAAACTTCCAACTTTCCTTTTTCGTCCGTCCCAATTAAAACTTTCATTTCCCCTTTTTGGCCACAATTTGTGGTTCACAACAATTCTTACACGTTTCTCGCTCCTCTGCACAACTCTCCACCACACAATACTCACTATCTTAAACTGTGTGCCAAACCTATTTGGAAGTTTAATAAGGGACGGAGGGAGTATAATTCTAATGATTTTTATCACATGCAAATGACTTTGAAAAAGAAAGTTATCACATCAGATATAAGTTAATAAGAAGAACCAATTAAGCAGAGCCTAAAGTTGTTGAAAGACGATAGGAGTAGAGAGAGCTACATAGAACTTACTATGAGCCACTAGAGGTGTATAGGAGGAAAGATGAACTGTTTGTATAGCTAGATATGAATTTCTTCCCAGTTGAAGTTGGTTGGGAAAATGCCAACTCGGCCCGCTCTAGAACTAGACCATCACAACAGCTAATCCTGCATCAAACAATAAAATTGATTAACAAAATTCACTAAAAAAAGGAAAAGGTGTGAGAAGGGTTGAATGGTATTCAATTTTGAACCATCTTCACTAGCTCCTACTTCAATAGATTTATAATATCTCTTCAAACCTACCTCAATCAGCTTTTATTACTCTACGACAATACATAACATCCTACAATAAGTTA